GTATAGAGGACTGGCAGTCCATCCCCATGCTTAGCTGCATGCTGGCTTCCTGATGTGAACATGTCCTTCAGCTCGTCATGTTAGGTGATCACTGAGACATGTTGAAAGAAACCAAGCTCTTCAGGTCTGGAGGGGAGTCAGGAGTGGTGTAGGAAATGTAAAGAAGCCATCCTTTATTCCTTTCCTTTTTGAAGAGATCCTTGCATATTAATTTGTATGTTATTTAGTTAGTGAACTTACACAATAGCAGATGCTCATGTGCTCACCTGTGGTGCTGCAGAAAACCAAAATTGTAATAGGTGCAGTTTTAGAGTTCTATGCCCTGAACCTCTGTCAGCACCATGAATAGTGTAATTGTGTGGTGCATGTATGTACCACATGTATTCAACTGAAAGTATGGGAGTGACCGGTGTTTTGGAGTTTAATCTTCAAATCTTCATTTAATCATTTGCAAAAGGAAAATGACTGTCTAACAATTCATAATAAAGTATAACACTGAGATCAAATGGAATTAAATGAAAGTAGATCACCCTAGTTATGGCAGTAGCCTCATTGCTGAAAAATGACACCACATCAATCTAAAGCAAAAGCATAGTGGTCATCTTTGTAGATTTGCTGCCATCCATTTTCAAAAGTGAAAATCAGATTAGCAAGGAAAAGAAAACACAGCTAACTGATTTGTATAATATTATAGATAAATCATGGCTTAAACCAGCTAGTTGCTGTCCTTAGCAGGTAGTGAGTTTGTCTTCCTAGTATATCAGTTGTCTCAGACTAGCTGTAAATGAACCAATGCAGAAATGATTGCACAAGTCAGGAAAGTGGTATGAGTGTATCAGCATGGCAGTGCACTGACTAATTAGCCCCTCTTGCTGACAGTGAGAGCCCAAGAACATGTCAGTGTTGCACTGACATGATGTTCTTGCTTTCTGACCTGAAATACATGGAGAATTTCTGCATCGTTCACTACCTCCTGGGTAATTCAGTCTGCTGGATTTTGGAGTGTGCCAGTTACTGCGTATTACTGTAAAAATCATTGGGTCAGGGAGTTCGAGGGAAAGCTGGAACGTCAGAAGAAAAGAGCTTCCAGCTCTCTTCTTGAACAGAAAACTAAAGAAAGCAAAAAAGGAATACCTGTGTCAGAACATTCATTGCCTTTTGGGGTTGTTTTATTTGATTCATTAAATAAGGTGAGGTTTTGTGTATGATTCAAGAAAATAGAAGGAGGCTACTTCCCCCACACCCCCAAAAGGGTCACTATTTCATGGTTGAGATTTCCAGAGTGAAGGAAGTAAGTCTGCTTCGAAGTTGCTTAAGAAAACTTACAGACTTAAACTTTGATAAATGCAGCTGTTCTGGTGTGTATGACTGGGTAATATTCATAAATATTTATATAAAAAACTTCAGACCATTCTGGCTATGATGCCTTCAGGCAGTTGAAAATATCCTTTTGGATGTTCACAAGCAGTATTTGTTTGTTCTGTGTCATCTTAGTTTAAGAAGTTGCTTGGACTGAGCATGTGCCTGTCTCTTCTGAGAACTCTTCTTAGGCACCGGCTTCAATCTTGTTTAAGCATACGTGACTGTGATGCTGAACTGAGGTCCATCACATTTGACACTTATAACAGTAACTACCCTAACTACTTACAATAGTGAACAAAACTAGGAAAGGCCTTTTGTCATACTCAATGAAGGGGAAAACTTTGAAAAAGCTATTTTGTTTCAGCAGTTCTAGCATGAGGTTTTGGATGTCTATTTTAGAAGTGACCTTTGTTGTGTCTCTCATTATTCAGTGTTCTTAACAGAGGACAAAGCCAATTCTGTGTTAAAAAGATACCCAAGAGCCAACACGTTCCTGGAAGAATTAAAGCAAGGTGACATAGAACATGAATGCAGAGAAGAAATCTGTAGCTATGAAGAAGCAAGAGAAGCATTTGAAAATGAGGAAAAAACGGTATGTTTTGGTGTGTATGTAAAGACGTCATTTATCTCACTCCTTCTGGAATAACTTGTTTATTAACTATGTCCACATGAAATGAGTGAGCAATTCAAAAAGCTTTCTGTTTAAAATACACCTTCAAATCCCAGCTGCTGGTGTAGCTGGCCAAAGTGTTTAATGCCCAGACTGTTAATAGTCTAAAATAAGGAAAGTCTAGTGTCCTTCTTCAAGCTAAAATCTGTATGCCCCCAGAGGGTATTGTTAAACAGCAGTCATCTAAAACATGGAAAGAACAATAATGTATGTTATGCAAGGGCAGTGATGCATTGACTTTATGGTGATGCATTGATGGGAATGAAGCAGATACTGCCCACACAAAATTATTGCATAAGTCTGATGGCTTCTGTAATTAATAGAAGCTTGTGGGCTAATGGCTCTGCAGCCAGTAGCTGCACATCATACCCAACATACCTTGTATTACTTCCCAACATATAGAAACAGCTTGCAGGTTTATGATGGTGGCATCTGACCTATTCAATACAATAGTCAAGAATTTTTATTTTTCTTTTTTTTTGAACTCAAAACAGACATGGATGAAATTAAGGCTGAATTTGAGGATAAGTCTGAAGTGAGAAACAGGTGCGAGAAAAAGTGACTCAGAAAACTTACCTTCAACAAACGCTTTTATCCCTTGTGTGTTTTTGCACAGGGAAATTATACTTGCAAGGTCAGTGGGTTAATGGGCAAAGTGGCACAGGGAGCATTGCAGATTTCTTCCAGAATTTACACAGATGATGCATTCCAGTCTGGTGATTTGGCTCTACATCAAAAGATCGCTGTGTGTAAAGGCATACTGAATGCTTTAAGTTCTTGGCATCTTTCTGCTGGAGGTCATAGCTGGGGAGATGGATAAGGCTGGAATAAGGACTTTCTAATTTGTTGAAATTAAGTAGTAAGACCTGCGGTGTCTCTTCAGAGCTGTTTCTTTCTGAAACTTTAGAGTGTGTGCACGCACATGTTTTTTACCTCCCAAACTTGGCTTGGTGTGGCCATTCCTAATGATACCTCATTATGTAATTAAGAATAGTGTATACAATGACACAACTTGTGTGAAATTCTAACACAATATCACTTCTCCTGAAGTAGCACAGGAAGTTCAAGCCTCCAGAGGAAAGCATAGCCTAAAAATACTGCTTCTCACTTCAGCTTCTTTTCCACCATTTAGGAACGTTTTGTTTCGGTAGTTAACGTTTCCCTTTCAGAGGTATTTTGGAAATAGTAAAATAGAAATAGTTACATTTCCATCCTTGCTACAACCTTTATATCACAGTGGAGAAAGGGCTTCCAATGAGGTCCTGAACTTTTATCCATTTCTACTGCTGTATCCTTTTTTGCCTAGCTACTTTATTCTGTTGTTGGTGGCTTGCTAATGGGCCAGGCTCTGCTAATGTGCAGTTTTGCCTGACCAGCCCCATTTACTCGAAGCTTTATTTAGACCATTGTTCCCCAGCGGTATCCATCCTTACAGCCACTGAGTAAGACTTAACTTCTGTGTCCCAGAGGGAGGAAATGGATGCAGTAGACTAGCATCATGGTACAGTATATTCAGAGTGGCAGATGCGATGATTTCATAGTATAGGTAGACTGGAATTCAGATAAGGTCTGTAGCTTGTTTAGCTCATGGTAACTTTGTTTTGTGACATCTCTCTCGTGTTTTTTATCTTGTCCACTTGGTTCTTAGTTTTTCTGCAGTCTTCTGGGGAAATGTGCAACATATGGATGCGTAATGTTAAAATAATACCAAACAGTTCCCTCAAGTTACTTTTGATGCATGAGTTTTTCTTGAAAGTTAGCACTGTGTATGTTAAGTGTACATTCATAGCTGTCATGGAAATATTGAACGCCTTTAACACTATGTGGGTTTGGGGATTTTGATAGGTTCAGAATTATTATTTAAAATGATAAAGGAATTATAAAGGTAATACAATTATGTTAGTAAGACTAGAGCCAACAGGAAAGAAATTGCAGGGCTTTGTGGATTAAACAGAGTATGAAAATTGGTGCTGACAAATGTAGTGCATGTGGGGGAAAAGAGAATGTTCATTGTATATATGATTGTCTCTGAACTGAACCTGGGGACAAGATCAGAATTTGAATCTATGAAGACTTGTATTTAATGCTTAGCAGTCAGACAAAACCAAAGCAAAATAATATCTTGAGTACTAGGAATATGAAGGAAAAGGAATTAAAATGGAGAATGTAATTATGTCATTGCACAACCACATGTTGAATGTGCTACATACAGCTCTGATCTCCGTATCTCCTAAAAAACAGATCAATAGCTGAGGAAGAGACAGAGGACAAGTGTGACAGTTGACCAATGATATGAAAAGACTTCTGTAACAATAATAGATATTGAAAGAGTTAAATCAGGGAATATGTGAAGATCATAGAATAGTTAGGGTTGGAAAG